GGATTTTATTGGACATGATAAGAGCAGATATTTGTACATAAATATTTGATATGTGTAGAATAATATGATAAAATGTAGGCAAAAGTGGTGAAAAAGGCAGACACCATCCAGTACAATAGATATAAGATAGTTCAATAAGAAATAATTTATGAATTGCTGTGATAAAAGGATTTTGCACTGATTTCGTAATGGAATGTTACATTGCAAAACATGGCTGAAAAATAAGAAAAACAATTTTAAAATAAGAAAATAACATTAACTCCGTTGTTTGAAATACAATTTAAAAATAAACAGCTGATTCATTAAAAAGTATTATTCACATGGCCAAAATGTAAACAACTCTGTGGAGGGATCTTTAAAGGCTTCTAGGGCAGAGTCCTAAGGGATTTTGCTTAGTTTTTATTTTGATAACTCATCTACAGACCAATACATACCTTTCCTTGGACACCTGTTCCAAGTGGTGTCGCGAAGTTTGCGTACAGCTGGAATTTAGCGAAGACTGCGTACAACCCGCCAGGTTGATGTTTGACGAGGGTGAGACAAGGCCTGGCCTTTGTGTCAGTGGAATTTGACAAGCAAAGTTTGCGTACACCAACAAGAACCACGGCTAGGTGTTGACTATTTGACTAACATTTGACTAAAGCAACCAATCAGTTCTCACTGATTAAATAAAACTTACTAACTATATTAAGTAGTAATAAAAATATACCGCTTTTAAATTACTATCTAGATAAATAAATGTATATGTAACTTGGTCTTATGTGATTGTTGGATGTAACAGCCGCTCATACACTAGACAGAATTGTCACGTATGGAAATGTATAAGCGGTCTTTCGGCCTTGACAGTTTTATTCATATTTACAGTTCTGATTATGTAAATACTTAGCGGCTACTATTACAATTAACGTTATTAGTAATCTACAATAGTACAGTTTCTAAATTAAAACTATTTACATTAGTCAGTTCTTTTGGGCTTAACAAACTTATATATAGTTAAATATAGTTACTACCCAAGTTTGTGGAGGTATAATATCGCTTTAAACATGGAGCTATGTCTCTATTGTATTGATACCGGTATTGTTTGCGTATTCTTTCGATCCTTTGGTCCAGCATAAGATAGCGACCAGAAATCATAACGTAGCCAAAATAAAGTGTCTCCTAACTAATAATGTTTAATGGTAGCTCAACGTTATTATCTGAAGCAACATTGATTGAAACCCAGATTTGTGTATGTTAAAAATAGTATTTATATGTTACTATAACTTTTACAGTTAAAGATATTTAACAAGGGATTGCGACGTTGTATTCCGCGTTGGATGGTTACTACATTTAGCTATGTAAAACAGGTTAGTTAAACCTTCAAACCTAACAGAATTGAGCGATAAATAATTAATTGTAATTAAGAAACTGTAAATATTGTACATTACTAATAACGTTGATGTAAATAGTGGCCGCTAAGAATGTATACATGGTAAGAACAGCATATAGGAATACAACTGAAAAGACCAAAAGACCGCTTCATACATTTCCAGACTTGAATTTGGCTTAAGTAAAATTTGTCTAGTAATGTATGAGCGACTGTTACATCTACACTATATCTATTCTATCTATATATTAATTACGTAAGCCGATTATTTGCGTCAAAATTGTGGTGAGAGACTGGGAAATCGTAGAACGACGGGAGAGGGCTCAAATTAAAGGTCTTGACCCCGTGACGGCGGGAAAAATAGTGAAATGTTAACACAAAATTAGATATAACGTAAAATATTCTCCATAAGAATAGCATTGGAAGTCATTTGCTGCTGATTTTTGTTTACTTCAATACAGCTGATTGTGATTTATCATCAAGCCAGTAAGCAATATGTTACCTAATTTTTGTTGTTTTTTCCTCCCACAATATCTAAATTATTACTAGATTTTAAAATACCTTATAATACGTCAGTGTGACTTTTTGATCACACTGACGGATTATAAGGTATTTTAACCTCTAGTAATAATTAAATATATTACCTTAGGACTACTTATTTGCCAGCCAATTCTGCAATGTAGCCTACTGTACACAATAAAAAACCACGAATAACCTTACTTATAATAATTCAGACTTTTTAGTTAGTCTTACAATGTTGAAATCATTATTTAACTGTGCAATTTACAAACTTGTGTATTTTTTTGTAAATTAGTTAAACACGTGATAAGTAGTAGAATCATCGGAGATGGCTCAAATCAAAGGAATTTAACTTAGAATAGCTGAAAAAATAATGAAGTTTTTTCTTATAACTTGAAGGTTATTTTTGTGTTGAAGGAATGTTTAACATGAAATAACCACATTGACTAAAAAATAAACTTATAATATATAATATATATTTTTTATTTTTACAATAAGTCTGTTTTGAATCTTGAAATTATTACCAGAAATGAAAAAATAATTATTTCCAAAACGGATTAGTAAGCTTCTTTATTTATCCTTAAGTTTTAACTGAACCTTTTAATAGCTATTACGTAGGAAGGGCCAACAGCTCGTAATGATTAAACTTAACTGAATTTTAATTTCTATTATAGTATATTTTTCCCTTTGAATACATGTTCTTGTTAAATTCAATTATATGTAAATTATTTTTTACATTCATAATTATTTTGTTCTTTTTATATATTTCTTCATTACATTTAAACTATATAAACTAAATTTTATACTGAGCTAGGTATGTGTACACTGGCTATGTAGTCTGCAACTAAACCAAGATTAGTTTTACTAAGAACTAATAAGCGCGCGTAAAAAAAGTCATATCTGGGTTATTTTTTTAAATGGTATTTCAATACTGAGCTTTAATTACGTTTGCGTAGAAGGTAATTAAGATGTTTTTTTGAGAAAAGTTAGTAGTTAAGTGTGAAATAAACTAATTTGTCAAAGTATATGCATCAACTACCATACTACGCCAGTTTACGTAATATCCATAAGAATAACATATACATTTTTAATTTGAACTTGTTGTAATATTCTCCGTGACTAATACCGTACAAAAACACTGTATTAAACTCAATTACTTGTTTTTGTAAACTCAGAATTTATTTATTTAAGATAATTGTTTAAAGTTGTTGTTTAAGCGAGTTAATGTTAGTTTTCTATAGAAAGGTAGAGTTTAAGTGGAAAAAACAATGATAGCAGATCTTGACAAGAAATAAGGAAAACCAAAGTGTAATATGGATAAGGACTGACCAAGGGACACAAGTACGTTGTTGTCAAGAACAGGGGTTTCTCAATGAGCTGCAGACAAGCCAAATTTTCCTGGCTTTTGTAGCAAGTTATTTATAATAAATTGTTGTAAGATTGTATGATTTTTAAAGAAATAAAATAAATCTCTTATACCGGTGACAAGTTGAAGGGGAGATACAACTAGACGTAGGTACAAGTAGGCGTAGGTACAACTAGTCGTAGGTACAAGTAGTCGTAGGTACAAGTAGTCGTAGGTACAAGTAGTCGTAGGTACAAGTAGTCGTAGGTACAAGTAGTCGTAGGTACAAGTAGTCTCAGACGTATGAGGTACAAGTAGACGGTGACGTTCCCGACTAGTTGTACCTGTAGATTTTTAAGAGGTACAACTAGACGTAGAGACAACTAGACGTAGAGACAACTAGACGTCCGCACCATCGTCAAGTTGTCTCTACAGCTTTGGACGGGGTACAACTAGACGCCTGTCACCAAAATGCAGCAGGTACAACTAGACGCAGGTACAAGTAGACATCGCCCCTCAAAACCTCTCCTTAGCAGCAAACCTAAGTACTCGTTAAATCTATTGTTATTTAAATGGTTAATAAATCTTAAATTTTAAGGAAGTATTTTGGTAAAATTCCATTCAGGCAAAAGGAGATCCGCTTAGTCAAATGTTTGCTGCGGCGGAGTGTATTAATCACACATGCTACGAACTCGTTAAAATTCATCATCAACAGCGTAGACAGTTTAATAGCAGTGCATTGTAAAATTTTCGTCACGGTTCCACGGATTTGAAGCATATACAAATAATAGAATAACACAAACGACACAGGATATTTACATTCACATGAAAGTACTCAAACTTCTTTGATCACAAGAAAATCATTCACAAAAGGTAATCACATTGACTTATGGAAATAATAAGTAAAACTGTGTCATTGAACAATTTGGGGACTAAGAAAGGTTTTGCAATTAGGATCACTGTACATTAGTGTCAACAATTAGAACTATTAACGTAATATTTGAGGATTTATGTTATTGACTGGAAAAATACCATAACTTTAATTTTCTTATAATGTACTATGCTACATATCCTTATTAACCCTGAGGATTGTAGGGGCTTTTTTAAAAAGCCCATATAGTACGGAAATGTAATGTAAAAGTTATAGGAAAAAGTGTATAGCTAAATATTATATAATGGAGTATTTACACACCAAAGTACTTTTTACTTTAATACTGAAATTCAGGAATATTCTATTGTCTACTTGTTTAAAATCACTTTAAAATTTATAAATGGTTTATTTTAAACAGCTGACGTAATACTGTAGCCTAGATTAGATTGTGTAGGTAGACCAGTTGTCCACATTTATTACTCCACTGCCTTCCAAATATTTAAGTAGGAATACAACTAGGGTGGTCTGCCGTTACACTTTAGACGCATAAATGAGCGAAGCATTATTTAAAGATAATCAATGGCTAATGCAGCTAACAACCTACAAAATGTTCCCTTTCAACAGTGTTCCGGTCGGCCACATTAGTCTCTGAACGTTATCCCTTTGACGAGATTGCGCAATCATATAGGCACAGATGTTTCTTCAACTTGGTCTTCTTCGATTTCATCAGGACTTTCTTGGTTTTCACGTACACACGGTACTCTCATGTGAACAAAATCATTGACTGGTAGTTGGCGTAGCGCTTCATCACTAATGGTTATGTCAAAATAGAATGGGTTATTTGCCTTCAGCCAAATAAGTGCTTGATGTAGTTTTTCACGTCGAACTTTGAAATCGATATGGCCAAAGACGCCTTGACGTTCGACAATGATGACTTTAAAGTTTTCGGGCAGTGTATAGGTAAGACAGATGCTATTTCATTAATATCTTGCTCAACATTAATGATGTTACCTTTGTAGTGAAACTGGCCATCCTGACCATTTGCTTGTACTTTGTAAATGCGCATAGCGGGATGTACTCGTGCAATCAACATTTCTCAAAACAAATACAGCAAAACTGTTACTGCCATTGATAAACATTCCAACTAACCTAGGATGAAAGTAAATATTGAAATGTAAACAAAACAGTTACAAACAATTAACATATGTTTATCTTATTTAAATGAAACGAGATAAACCCATATGTCATAAACCCAATATCATTTTTCTTTCAACTTACATTAAAATAACAAGCAAAATTGCGTGACCTATAAAATAAAATCCAGAAGGAAATTTGCAAATATTTTTTTACCTAAACATTGTGCTCAGTATTCTTTAGCTGTTGGCCAAATTCCATATCAATTGGTCAATCCATTACATTCTGATGCTCTTACAAAGAAGTTACAAAGTGAGGGAAAGTGAGCTTCGCTCAATTACTAATAAGTCCGCTCCTCTCCAAAACATCAAAGGACTCCATTAAAATAAATGTCAACGTGCGATGCTTAAAATACTAATTCATTGTTCAAAGCACAACTATCACGTGGCCTAAGGGTTGCCATCTTGAAGTGTGCAAAATACAGAGATTGTACAAACTGTTGTTTTCGATACTGATCTTGTATTTACATTTTTCTTTGTGTACTTTTATATCCGCATTTTTATTCTTGTTTTGGATTTTGTTTTACTATCATAAAATTATTGCCTAAAATTACTTACATGTCCAGTTCGGCGATTTTTCAAATCTGAAACAGAGGCAAGATTCCTGTATTACAAAATGAGTAGTAAAACATATGACATGTTTAATGCAATTTCAATCACATAATTTCAATCTACCCTACGCAAGGCAATAAGTGTGTATACAAGTAAATATTGAATGACTCATAGAAAGGAATGAAATTGATTCTATTATATGAATTCAAAACAACAATTGGCTGTTTAAAAAAAGTTTGCCTTAATACAAGTTAATAAAACCAATTATGTAATATTACGAGTTTTAGTGGAATATGGAAGATATTACGTTTATGACTGTCAAACAAATATAATACTTTCAACAGCTTACTGCTCTAAACACGTCAAACATATTATATTATTTCTAAAGTGCCTTTTCGTCGCTACACCACAACCTCCTCGGTATGACATCAATTTTCGTAAATGATGGGTCCGAAATTATTGTACATGTTATTATTGTAAATTATTGTATTATTTCCAGAAAAAAATCATACTCATGTGTATTTTAGGTATTGTAAAAGCCTAAAACGTCTAAATTACATTTTACATCACTTTTTACACCACTTTTACTCCACAGCAGTCGGTCAGTGTGGGTTGTAATGGCTAGTGTTATCACCAACCTGGGAGCAGTTTGGTTGATCCAAAGCATTATCTCACAGTTTTTTACAAAAGCTTATTAAATAGCTCAAATTTTTAGCTTGGATTTAATCCCACAACTGAGCTTGTTTTAATACTTATGAGTGTTTTTTTTTGCGTGTACATTGTATAAATGAACTCAGGATTTATTGTATTGTATTGCATTGTATTGTGTGGGTGTTATCCAAAGATATACAGATTAATGACATAGATTGAGCACAACGTCATCATTGACCTAGGATACTGCAATTAGACTAACCATCTTTTTATGAAATCTAAAAAAGTTGTTTGGCATGTGTTTAGTTGTGGTTACGTTTGGAGGCGCTGAATATTTTATAGTTTAAATAAATGAATACGGGGAATTACAGTGTATATTGATTCAATGAGGGTGGTTTAATTATTAAGGATATTAGAAGGAATGGATAATAAACATAGACAATTAATTACGTCACTAGCTTTACTAGCGTGTTTTACGTTTTAAATTCCTTCAACATGTGACCAGTTCTTTTGTTTAAATGAATATTATTTTATTTTTGACTCAGCTGTTTACCAAAACAAACTATATGTTGTTGTATTTACTTTTCTTTGTTTACACTTATTTATTTAGCAATTGATGCAGTGAAATTGATATAAAGGATATGTGTGGACGATTCGTTTAATGATGTCAGGACACCAACTTTATAATTATGTGTACTGTGAATTTTATTGGATGTTTTCGTTTTATTTTAGGGAGTTTCTATTCAGACCTACTGGAAATTGTGTATAGTATGAGTAATTGTATTGTGTTGATATTGATTATGGAAGAGGCAGGTATGCGATGTAATTGGAAGGTGATATCGTTGACTAGGCCTATACACTTTCTCAATTGATAATTACTCTTTCTACTGTAGGCTGCAATAAAATTTGTCTTTATACGTGTACGCTAGCTGTTCGGATTTATACACAGTTTTAACTGACTAATCCCGTACGTAGGACGGGCTAACACCTCGTACAATTTTAAAAAGTTTTTGTTAAGTACAATTTTTGTTAAGTACGACGATTTTGGATTACCGTGTCAACCCCTAGCTCGCATTCTACAGATGTAGATATGTACATATGTAGATAAACACAGCAGGAACATGTCTGGAAGGTATAACTACGAAATGTATATTACAGTAATTTCGTAGTCTTCTCCGAATTCCGGCAGTATTATTTATTCGCCACACGCACAGTTCTGAGTAAGTTGAGTGTTTCAGTGAATTAATTTCCCATTACAAGCGGCCAGTTTACTGCAAGACGGACTACATAATGTAACACAGGGTAAGGGGAATGTTCAAGAGCTCATTCTTTACTTTTCAACAGAGAATTTTACACTGAGTATAAATTAAATTGTTGAAACAATCTACAAACTTAATAGCTACATGCTGACATGGCTTTTATATGAATTACTAGCTGTACCCGCGGGCTTTGCCCCGTTTAACTTCATATGTGAGCTCGTTCGCATGGGTCAATCACGTCCTGGTTGAAGTTCGTTCGCTACGCTCACTCAACTTTAGGTTTGGAGCTCGTTCGCTGCGCTCACTCGTCCTGGTTGAAGTTCGTTCGCTACGCTCACCCACCTTTACGGTTGGAGCTCGTTCGCTGCGCTCACTTGCCTTCAGGTTAGCTCGTTCGCTACGCTCACTCACCTTTTGGTTTCAAATTAGCTGTTGTCAAATATAAAAAAAAAATAATAGTGCTGCACTCTGTTGGTAATCCTTGTAACTTTAATGCTATTGAACATCATAGAACAGAACCAACTTGTTTAATTGAAACAGCTGTTATGATTCATTAATTCCATTTAAATATGAGTACTCGTTAGGTTAACATGGGAAACTCCAGAGCCACTGGGGTGGAGCCCGAGAGTCCGATCAGAATAAAAACCACTTAGTTTTCCTATTTAATGCCTAAAGAATCAGAGTACCAAATTTCAGCCTCCTAGGTAAGTGGGAAGTGGGAGAATTAGTGATGAGTGAGTCAGTCAGTCAGTCAGTGAGGGCTTTGCCTTTTATATACTACTAGCTGTACCCGCGGGCTTTGCCCCGTTTAACTTCATAAGTGAGCTCGTTCGCTGCGCTCACTCGTCCTGGTTGAAGTTCGTTCGCTACGCTCACCCACCTTTACGGTTGGAGCTCGTTCGCTACGCTAACTCGCCTCCAAGTTGAAGTTCGTTCGCTACGCTCACTCACCTTTTTGTTGCAAATTAGCTGTTGTCATAAATGTTAAAGAAATAATAGTGCTGCACCCTGTTGGTAATCCTTGTAACTTTAATGCTATTGAACATCATAGAACAGAACCAACATGTTTAATTGAAACAGCTGTTAAGATTCATTAATTCCATTTAAATATGAGAACTCATAAGGTTAACATGGGAAACTCCAGAGCCACTGGGGCGGAGCCCGAGAGTCCGATCAGAATAAAAACAGCTTAGTTTTCCTATTTAATGCCTAAAGAATCGGTGTACCAAATTTCAGCCTCCTAGGTAAATGGGAAGTGGGAGAATTAGTGATGAGTGAGTGAGTGAGTGAGTCAGTGAGGGCTTTGCCTTTTATATATATAGATAGTCTATATATACCTATATACAGCTAGTCTATATACCTTTTATATAGTATATAGACTAGCTGTACCCGCGGGCTTTGCCCCGTTTAACTTCATGAGCTCGTTCGCATGGCTCAATCACGTCCTGGTTGAAGATTCATTATCATGCATTATAATGGTAGATGGCCGATTTTGGTTACAAATCAAATTAATTATTTTATATGTTATACATTATTGTGTTGAGTTTTAGAGGTTCAAAAAGTTTTACTAACAAAACCCCGTTTGTCGACACAATCTCTGACTAGATTTTGCCTACTAAAGAAGACATACTGTTGTAGTCATACAAATGTACTACTTCCATGACCCAAAATGGATATTTTCACCCAAAAATAAAACTCTGTGTATGTGGTGAACAAAAATCAAAGGAGATTCTCTATGAAAACAAAAAACATAACGGACCAAATGTATGTAATGTCTATGTCAAAATCCAAAATGGCCATTCAACTAAAATAACTAAGACAATTACCTGAATTTAATCAAATGATTACTATTTCACTAATATAATTTATAGGTTAACATATTACATTCAATCATTTAGCAGAACAAAAAACTATTTTCCCAATTCCATTGGATAAACATACTGAAATTGTATTATTCAAAAACAAATTTCCTTTACAGCATGTGTACAGATTAGTGAAGGTCAATTGTATTTTAATTCCAGCAACATTTTGGAGAAACATTTGCTAGAGGCAGAACACGTGATTATAACGACAATGTTGGAGCGAATGATGTTACAAGATTCATTTCCTGTGTTTCTGTTTCGGTGACAACAGAGACTGGGTACAACTTTGTTTCAGTCGAGGTTGACTTTACTTTGGCGATTTACGGTTAACAAACATACATTTCTAAATATATTAATCGAACCAATTTTGAACACATTATTTTAATTTTTCTGTTGAAGACCAATTTCATCTCTTGCATAACTGAGGATAATTTATATTGCAG